TGCATGAGAAAAATTATTTCACTGTGCAAGTTTATGTCCATTAAATATGCTGAATAAAAATATGGGCTATAATCTATTCTTTTCTCTGCCACCAAGATAGCTGGTCCACTTAGGAAATGTACACTGTTGGCCATTAAAATTTCAGTAGCAGGAAGGAATGCTTTCAAGAATGTCAAAATCACATGAAAGGAAGAAGAGGTTGTAATATGCAAATGATTCGTATTCAAGTGCATTTAGATGTTGCAGGAGGGAAAAATGAGCACTGCATAAAAGAAAAAGTTGTGTAATGGATTTTCTCATGCAAGGTCAGAGTTTGCTAAGAATATGTTATGCCTCGAATGATAAGAAGAAATGCCTACCAGCAAGTTTCGGAATTCGATAGAGGCAGGATCGTTGTCTATTGAGAGTGAGGATTATTGTTCTGTGATATCGCTCGTCGCACTAGTTGACATCCAGCCACTGTCATACAAATGTGGAATCAATGGGTTGCCTAGGGTCATACTTAACCTTTTAACTGTCGTGCCCGAGATGCACTGGTGTTCGAAAATGTCACGCCCTAGTATTACTCGGGGTAATTTTTTTTGAGTGCATCGTATTGTTATACCCGAATATATATCGGGAGACGTTTATTTCAGCTACATCTCTTTGTCAAACCCGACTGTATCTCGGGAAAAGTTAATGTGCGCTCAGTTCAATAGATGACAGCACTTTACTGAAGATTTCAAAGGTTAGAGGTTATAAGTTCTTTGGTTCAAAGTGCATGGGATATTTTTGTTGTAAAATGGCATCCAGTTCTTTGAAATGTTATATAGATGATTTAGATTCTTCAACTGAAGATGAAGGATGTGTGTTCAATGAGCAGTATTCATGATACTTCCATGGTCAGCCTCAAAAATAAAAAACAAATAAAAAATGAAGATATACTCAAGCCGAAGATTGTTTCTAATTACAGTCTAACTATGGGTGGTGTAGATCGCCGTGTGATTAGGAAAAATATCCTTTTATCCAACAATCTGAAAACATCAGAAAAAATATTATAAAAAGATATTTTTACATTTACTAGACAAGGTACTCTGGAACTCATATTTGCTCTATAAAAATGTAGTTGGGAAACGTATTACATTTTTAGAATTTTGAATCCAAGTTGTAGAAGAGCTTTTACATAAATATGATGATGCAGCTTCTGGACAAAACAATATTGGCAGACCAGCTACAATAGATAACCCTGCCCGTCTTACTGAACGACATTTTATATCCCATATTCCTCTTACTCCTGCGAAACATGAGCCTACAAGACAGTGCAAAGTGTGTTGTTTGAAAAAGGATAAAAATGGGGAAAAGATAAGGAAGGAATCACGATTCTGGTGTAGTGATTGTGGAGTTGGTTTGTGCTTGGAAAAGTGTTTCCAGTTGTACCACACTAGACTGAATTACTGAACTACTAATAGGTATTCACTTGTATTTATTTATATTTTAGAAAATAATAAATTTTTTTCATTTTTAGAAAATAATGCTCCACTAGAAGCGAACTTTACATCTGCCATGTTGAGTGGCAGCCGCCTCAAGCAAATATGCAGTGGCTACAAAACTTTAAAAATTTTACCCATGTACTTCAAAATATAAATTTTTAACTATTTAAGTATATTTTATTTTGTACTAAACATTTGATTTTTGCAATAAAAAAATTTGACAATTTGTGTGCCCAAACCATCAAAATAACTTGACAGTTAAAGGGTTAACAATATGGAAAATCTCAACGCCCTTGCATAACTAACACCTGAGAGGACAGACATATTGTAAGGCCACCCCTCCACAACAGTATACAACCACATCGCAAACCATTATCCAGGAAATGTGGATGTTTGCAGCACACCCAGTATCTACTCGTATGGTGCATCAATGTGTACAGCAGTGTGGACTATCAGTACGATGGCCTTCCCTTGACATGCAGCAATACAACAACTCTGGTGCTCTGAACAAGAAAGCTAGTACAGGAGTGACACAATGTCATCTTTTCAGACGAGTCCCGGTTCTACGCGCAGTATTCTAATGGCTGCATGCTTGTCTGGAGGCTCTGAGGAGACTGCATGTCCCCTGCTTGCATTCGATATCGGCATAGGGGCCCTGCACTTGGCGTGATGGTTTGGGCAGCCATTCGGTACATTTCTGATATTTTATGCCCAGTGTTTGTGCCCTATGTTTGAGGCCTGCCAGATGCCATCTTCCAACAAGATAATTCAAGACCACATGTTGCATGTCATATTCTGACCTTCCTCGATACATGAAACAGCATGGAATGAATTGCCAGTTTCTGTCATCCAAGCCTAAGGGTAAGGGCCTATGGGTAACAGCCATTTTAGCTGCCAGTGGGGGCAGCTGTTTCTACTAATTTCACACCCCTGTAAACCCTCAAACTGCTTACAAATTTAATTATTTTGTCATCATGTCATACTGTTTATATACAATAAATATCTTTTATATATATATATATGCTTTCCTTCATGGTGTTAAAATTTTAATGGCCAGCAGTGTACCTGTCAGCCTCTTTTAAGACCTGTTAACAAATCTGATTATTTCTTATAGCTTTAGGTCATGATACCCAAAATTGGCCTTTATAAGAAATGCAAGCTGTATGATCTTTGTAAAATTTCAGACCATTAGTCAGAAAATGTGGATGTTTGCAGCATGCCCAGTATCCAATAGACATAAATCAATAAACATATACATGTAGAATTTTGTCTGAATATTGGATGCCAAGTATTGGTATTTACCAAGAAAATAAGTGAAACTCAAGCTGCACAATCATTACTTTATCTACTTACCCCTCTCCATCTAATACCATATTATCTATTTTATGTTAATTTTACAACATGTTTGGTATGTTGAACTAGTTTTCAAATTTTTTGCTTAATAATTCTGGAGGTTAAATCTTGATTCATCAATAGGACTGCATCTTAACATACCGAAAAAAGAAAAATTCACTTGTTAACCATACAGGGAAAAAAAATTCACTAAACTTTCGTGGCCAAGGATTTACATTAACCTTGGGGGCAATGATGCAAACAATTATGTAATAAAAATGAAATTTTTTAATTGACATTTATTAACAAAATGTGTTCAACACTCATTTTTCATCAACTTCTTTAGCATTTATATATATTGTTACGAATTTTTTGTATGTATGTAAATAATTTTACTGAAATTATATGTAAAATTGTAGGTCTTTTTTTTTTTTTTTTTTTTTTATGTAACTTGAAAATCCAAACAAGTGAAGCTTTGCCAAAAAAGTAAGATTTCAGGGGCAAGTCTTAAATTCTCGAGATATCGCCAAAGAAAGTAAAAGTTGGCAACATTTTGGTCTGGCTCCTGTATAACTGTAATGGATATTGAATAACTATAATTCATATAACTGTATATTATATATTACTGTAATGTTATTATATATAACTGTAATGGCATCTGGCTATCATTTGCCTTTCAATAATTTTGAGAAATGGAAGGTACTAGAAATCTCTTGGCGGCCAGGAGAAATCCATATAAGTGTGGAGACAGCATTGGTTTCGGAGAGTTGTTCTTTAGTTTAGAATAATGAGATACCTTCATGTGAGCTTTCCCTCTTTAGATGTATTTTGTTTAATACTCTTAGTAGTTAGTATAACTATAGTAAGTGTAAATATCGATGGCATGAAGGTTACCAGATGAGAAGCCCCATTTTAAAGCACTTTAGATTTCTGCAGTGAATGATGACAGTAATGGACTCTTTACCATGAGATATATCAGTGAAGTTCCTTGCAGTATCACCATTGATACAAAAGCCAATGGTACAATCACCTGGACTCCTCTCTTCATTACCCTTCAGACTGTGTCCAGGGATAAATTTGACATCAAAGGAAAATTCAAAGTTAACATCACGCTTTCGAGTGCCGCATATCACATGGCATATGTAGTTGATATTGCCAACCCTTGCAAGATCAAATGTTCTTAAAAAATATAATTTTTCCTTAGTCTTCTAAAGTAATGAAATGCAGTCTGCTTCTGAGCACATAACAAACACTACTCAGAATTAAAGATGAAGGATTTAAATCTGTTTACCACTCATAGTTCAAGATGAAGCACTACCAGCAAGAACAGAATTTTTACTTCCTGGATCCTTAGCCGAAAACAGAAATTTCCGGTACGATGTAATGGAATAGCCTAAGAACTATGAGCAGCCTGAAAAGGGGTACTAGTAGCATTGGTACTCATCCAACCTATAGAGGACCATCATCTCAGTCAGAAAAGCCAATGTAAGTTCTAAGGCAAAACTCAATAAGAAAGGTGAACTGCTTGCAGCATGTAGTCGAGTCATTTGCGTTAAATAAACCAGTAATCTTTCAGAGTCTCTGCCTTGGGAGAGCTTAACATCAGAGTTATAGTGGAATGCACAACTAAGCAAAGACGAAGGGAGTGCTGCCAAATGTGTCATTCAAGAAGTTTTCTCTCACTCAGCTTCTGCATAGGTTGAAACAGTTTGGCTCAACATAGAATTAATATGGGAGATGATCCACTGGTCAAGGAATATCCAAGACGACTGCCTATTGCTAAACAGGAGGAGGTAGGAAAATTTCTAAAGAACATGCAAGAAAACGACATTCTCGAGGCTTCAGTAATTCCTTGGGCATTTCCCATCATCTTAGTCAGAAAGAAATGGCGTTCATCTAGATTTTGCATTTGCTAGTTGAACGAAGTTACGAAAACAGATGCCTCTTCCTACAATTGATGACATTCTGGACACTGTGGAAGCATGTGGGTTTTGACATTTGATTTAAATAGTGGATATTGGCTGGTAGAAATAAACCATTATGACTGACAAAGACAGCATTTACTACTGGACAAGACCCAAAACAGTAAACCACCATTTAAAATTCTTCTATTCTATAACATTAAATTTAATTAATATTGTGTATGTATAATAATTTCTTTTCATAAAGTTAACAATTTACTGAAATGAAATAAAAAGATAATCTATTTCAACATTTTATTTTTATATAATACAAAAATAAGTAGATATACATTAAAGTTTGGTGGTACTTAAAATAAATAACATTGTACAAAATGAGATTCAAATCCACATAAAATATCTGGATAAAATGAAAGCAGGTACTTAAACACTACTATTTTTTATTTTAAGAGCTGTGTTCAGAATGTGTGGGTGATATGTGCATTGCTTCTTCTAATTTATTATAATAAGTTTTGAGCTGTTGTTCTTTGTCAGCAAAGGTCTGGTTTACAGCAGTATTTTTGTTTTGAATGTCATCTACAAAAGCTATCCATTCTTTTTTTCTGAGTGCTCTTCTTTGTTCCAAAAACTGTTTCTAAAAAATCAAAAATTGTTTATAAATAAATATACACATTATTATAAATTTAAGAATGAACTTTAAAATACTGAATGTACAGTAATAAAGAATAACAATATTAATTTGGTTTGATTAATAAAAGATTTGTACATTTTTATAAAATGCGATAGAAATTTTAAAGTTATATTTGATGACAGCTTTCACTATTTTATGACCAATGAAAATTATTGAATAAGATAAAAATACAGTTTAAATTAAATCTCTATACTGGGAAATGAATGCAGCAGCTTTAAAATTTAGTTATTAGTAATAATATTAACCGTACATTATAATAACTAGAATAAAAATGGTAATGTCTAATTTCTTTTCTTAGCCAAAAAGTCATTTTGCATCTTGATTTGTTGCAAGATAAATCTGGATCTATTTAAAACAATCCGATAATAATCTAAGAAACCATCACTGAAATTAGCTTACAGTGGGAAACCTTTAGGTTAGATAATAATGCTATTGCCAGGGAATGAGTTGTAATCACAAATGTAAGGAAAAAAATGAATATGAGAAAGCAAGCATCATATCAGCTGTTGAAAAAGGAATATAACTTATTGTATGAAATCATAACACAGAAAACTGGCAAATGGGACTCGATAAGCAGTAGTAAAATAATCAATGGCAGGAAGGCCCTTATTATTCTGTAAAGTTCAGTACTAGGCGCAGTGGCTAGTGCATTGCGCAGCAGCACCACAGGTCCAAGATTCGATCCTCCGGGCTGGGTAAGGTTGACTCAACCTTTCATCCCTTGAGAGGGTCGATAAAATGAGTACCAAGTTCGCTTGAAGACTAAACACTCGGGGGTCCTGCGACAAGCTGACCACTTGTTCAGGGTATATGTTTACACATCCTGGGGCCCACGGTTTAAAAAGCAGATATCAGCACACTGCCAGCCATAGCTCTAAGGGCTGTTTGTGCTGCCGAGTTTTAGAGCTCAATACATAATACTCTTTCATCATCAAATATTGCACAATAGATGCAATGTGATATAACTTATCTATTTAGCTGTTTCTGCTCTGAAGTACAACAAACAGTTTTATTTTAAGTTACTGCACTGTACTAGAAATAGTTTAACTATTTAAAATCTTTTAGTATTATTTAACTATTTGCCATAAAAATTTTAAAACTGTCTATTTTGTTCAATTTTTTTACTACTCAAGAAGAAATTTAACTTTTCGTTGTGTTTCCCAAAATCTCATTGCCTTTTATGCAACAATCATCAATCTTTGTTACTCCGATTTCAGTTTTTTTTTTTTTTTTTTCCTTAAAACATGATTGTTCTTTTTTAATGAACAAAAAAAAAAAAAAAAAAAAAGCTGAAGAATAAGTTATGTTTTTTATTGAATATAAATTTTTATGGTTTGTTCTAAATTATCATAATTCAGATAAATTCTGATTGAAAAATATGAACAATCTGCCTACATATTACAAGATACAAACAGTTTGTTCTTTATTGCACTCACCATTTTTATTTTAAATAATGATTTCATATTATTAAAGTGCATATTATAATACAATTTGACAATGAGATTACTTAAAATTCACAGAATAACTTTGTCTCCTTTCAAGTTTTTTAAAATAAACTAAATGGATAATGATATTATTAATTCAGCCATGTAAATTTCAAGTTTTTTATAAATACCACCTGCAGAGAACTATTGGGAAAAGAGAATTTTGAAATTGAATGATGTTTATATTATGTGGTGATGAACACATCCACTATGTTCTATATGTTACATTTATGTTAGTCTTTGTTTTTTCAATGTAAAACATTATTCTGCTATTTAAAAAAAATTAAACCTACAGCTTGTACCACTTGTCCAAAAATTTAAATTTTAGCTTGTATATTCACACACCAGTTGTAATCAATCTGTTAGTAAAACATTTTTGAAACAAAATACAAAAACTTTTCTAATATTAATTACATATTGATAACTTTAAAAAACAATAAGTATTTTATAATACTCAACTGAAATAGAAAATGATAAAATGAAAGACATGTTTTAATCATTTTATTATAATTTTTAAATAAACACACTATGAAACAAATCAGTTGCCAAAAAAAAGCTTAAAAGATTCAGGAGTACTTATGTATGAACAAAATATAACATACAATTGACGATATTTTTACAGATAAAAAAGAGTGATGACATAAGCTACTTATCGGATGCAAGTTGGAGATTTTGTTGACTTTTTAACTCTTTAACAGTTTGACCCGGATTTTCTCGTTCTTTTATGCAAGCTCCTTAACGGTTTCTCCTGTAATATTGTCATTTTAAATATCTCCTTCAAAACTGATTGACCTGTCTTTTTGTTAGACTTAAAAGAAACGTCAAAAACAGATAGCCCGTATTTTTTGTCTCACTTTCACCCCCAAGTGCCTAAGGGGACAAGCGTCCCTCCAACCCTGATGACAATAGTTATTGAATGACCCTCAATAGCATGTGAAGTTTTACGATCAAGAACTCTTCTTGATGTTTTACAATAACGGCGACCTTACACTGGTTCTAAAGTAATAAGAAATTTGTTACCAGTTAGAAAGTTAATGGAAGAGGAAATAAGAATTTCTGTTTTACACGCTGTTTAAGAAATAAAAAAAATACAAAAAGGAGATTTTTTATAGAATAAGCTTTTATTTAGAACTCAAATGATTAATAAATTAAAAAAAAGAAAAGTAATTTAGCTATTGTTCTGATATCAGAAGGGATTCAGGAATGTATGTATGCACGTCATGTGCATGTGTCTGTATTTATATGTATGTAAACACATGTATACGTTCGTATGTATATATAGGTGCATACATGAACACATACATCCGTATATACCATGCATACATTTTTTAATCCGATCCTGATAACAGAAGAGTACCATGATTTATTATATAGATTAATAGGAATAAGAGATTAAATAATATTCTTTATGAAATTCATTTACAAATTTATATCATGAATAATAAAAAAAAAGTCGCACCCTATATATATTTTTGTCATTGGAAATCAACTGTTTGATTTCGTTATTCAAGTGTCTGCACTTTTACAATCCTTGATATAAATTGAATATTGTAAAGAAGTTTAATTAATCTCTTGTTTCCATTAAAGTATGCCATAAATTATTTTTTGGCTTTGGCTTATTAAGAATTTTATTAGTTTCGAATAAAAGCTTATGTTATAAAACTTTTTAAATTTTTTTTATCTTAGTCTTAATCACATTTTCAATGAAATTATTTTCAACAATTGAAAATAATTCTTTTACTTCCAATAAAGTAAATGAATAAAAATGAATAATATTTTTTTTACTTCCAATAAAAGCCTCAAATAATCGAAAACATTTTCTGACTTTTCACTCAATTCACCCAGAAAATTACGTTAAAAGTATCATACAAATTTCAATTAAAAGAATATTTTACGTCAGTGCAAACATTACCGTTTTGACTTTTGTCTCGGAAATCAAAATATGGTCAAAAATCGTGTCAACGTTAAGTTGTTTTTTATAGAATTTTATAAAATTTGTTTTACCATATTGTATTATCATCCGCAAGTCAATATGCTTTACAAAATTTGAACTCGATAGCTTATCAGGAAGTAGTATAAAAGTCTTCTGTTCATAGCCCCAAATACCACGAGTAAACTAAGTATGTGCTACTTCTTTTCAGAAATATTATGCTGTTTGAAAGAGGTCATCGGAAGAAATTTCGCATATTTTTAATTATTTATATATCTACTTATACTTCGTGCATTTTGCGGCAATTATTTCATTTAAAACAGTTTTTTGCCTCTCCCACATTTATTGATCTTATCACCACTCTGATGAATCTCGAAGGCTCTGAAAAACCAAACTTTGAGTAGGTTCTCATAAATTTAAATTGATAAATACTGTAAAAACACAACTGTTCTTATATGAGTAGAATTTATCGCCCGATGGAAAGGTTTTGCTAGATTGCTTTAGTAATCGGTAGAGTTTTATACTGATTTTAGGTTCTTTTTTCTTAATTTTCAGTTGTTGTTGCCTTACCATCAACCTCTCGAGAGGACTTTTGTCTCGCTGAATATTTAGAGTGTTCTGATGCTGCACGGACACTATACATTTACAAACATTCATCCTTCTCCGGGATTCGAGCTGGGTCCTTCGATACGGCAGTCAGCGACGCTAACCACTATACCAGCTGGGCTGCAATTTTCAGTTGTTCATGAGTCCATTAAAAAGCTCTGCTGCTTAAAATGTCAATTGCTTAAAAATATTTGCTGTCTAAAGCAAATTGGATATTTATATGTTTTTATCTTAATGTGTCTTTACAAAGATAGAATAATAGCTGTCAATACAGACGGGTTTAATGTATTTGGACTACGGCGAAGCATGCAATTATTTATCTGCCCAAGAGGAAGGAAACTTTTTAAGAGGATGTGACTTATATTCTCGTTCCACTTGTAAAAAAAGGCAAGAAAACTTCAATGCAACCAGCTCGTTGGCCAGGATTTGAACCCGTGTCGAGCTAGCTGTGCTTAGCGATTTTAGATGCTCTGCCAGTGGGAATCCAGAGACTTATTTAAAATCTTGTTTCGAAATCTTCTACCCTAATTTAGTGTGATAGTTGTCGTAGTATGAAGGTTAGGGTTATTTAAATATAACAAAGCATACAAGAGCTATGGGCCTTCGTGGAGCCCTTTCAGTGGGAAACTGGGTTACACATGTAAAAACCACGAAAAACAAACAGGCAGGAATTTGAAATCTAAAACAAATAAGATAGAAAACAGCGCTTTTCGGGGGAGCTGTATTCAGTATATGAAATTTATTTAAAATAAGCTGTAAGCTTTAAGTACACTTTTTGTACAAGCAAATAGTAGTTTGCCTATGCTAACTGCCCCAGTGAATTGGCTGCCTCACTATCGGTGGGAAAAAAGAAAGTAGTTTAGCTTTCGTATGTAACTAACATGCTGACCAGCCGCTCACCCTGTATCATTCTCTATTAATTCATTAAATAAAGACTGGATACGAAATGAGCAAATACATTTTGAAAGTTAAAATATATATATATTTTACAATTCATTTAACTGAAACCGTAAGAATCAAAAGGGATTTTTGTGCGTGTCTGCTTTATGCATTTAATGTATAAAATGCGAAAAAGTGAGAAAATCCATCCAACACAGAGAAATAATTCTTTCTAGTCTGTGGTAAGATTGTACCAAATTCATTTAAACTTCTGTTTAAATTTGAAATGCTATCTCTCAAATCAACGAAGGAATACATTTTTGGTTTTAAATTCCACATTAGTAGCAAACTGTATAATAGCTAAACTTACCAAAATATTTGTAGAAAACCACCAAAATTCTAGAAATTGCTATAAAATTCCGAAAAACATTAGAAAGATTGCCAATTCCATGCTGAAAAGATCAAGTTTTTACGAGGATGAGCTTGACTGTTAATGAACAACTTGTGGAAAAAATTCAGCGCTAAAATATAAATATGTATGCCAAATTTTCCAAAAATTCCTGAAAAATATTGTACTCTCATCGTAAATATATATGGACTTATAATGTGATGAAAGCTGAGTCAGTAAAAGAATGGATTAAAATTTAATTTCCCAAAATAAATTGGCCTACTAAAACTAAATAAAATAGATAAGTAAATAGTAAAAAAATTGTGTAACAAAATAAGTAATGATCTTTCTTAAAATACTGCCCAATAAAACATGTTGAATAATTGTAAATTTACAAGCTTGGAAGCTAAAATTCTAAAAAGATTTCGGAAAATTCGGACATCATATATTAAATGAAACAAGTCTAAAAGCTACAAGTACAAAGAAAGAGGAGAGACGAAACTAAATGCAACAAGTACTTCTTGCCATTCAATAGCAGGGAGGCAAATTTTATGGCTTATCCATCACACTAAGGGGAAGCAAACATACTGCCCTAGGTTGGGCCATCTTAGGGAGATTTTAGAAAATAAAAGCGATTCTTTTTTGGAGGGGTTTGTTGACTAACAACACGGCCATTTTCAAAGCATTTCGTTCCGAGGGGCAGGCTCGTTAATGGGTTAAAGAGATTGCTAAACTATTGATATTTATCTTAAGTCAGTAAACATTATCAGCATATCAAAAGGATTAAAACAGATTTTAATTATTTAATAAAATTCCCCTGTGAACATGGGTGCTTTCCATGTATGGAGCAGTCTGTTTTCGTTAAAAAATAATCAGCGAATTGCACAAATTAAGCATTGCACACTTAACTTGCAACAAAAGGATGTATTCCTGATGAAACATTACCACAGTTTCTTTCATTACCAACAAACTCCCTGAGTACATATTTTAAAATTGAGTTTAAGGCCAAAATATTACAATTTAAAAAAAGTATTGGAACTTGAAGTACAACAGAAAGAATGCATATAAAAATGATGACATTGTTTGACTGAAGAACAGTTATGAGCATAGTTGCCTGAAATACTGTTATCTGTATAATTGCCAGAGTTTCGCATCTACTGAAAATTTGGATATTTCTACTAAGGTGGTTATGCTAACACAAGTACTGAGTCAGGAATGTTTTGCAGTCATTATAACTTCAAAATATTTAAATAGTATTTTTATGTTTCAGTTTATTTTTTCTATTTAATATCTATTTATCTTTTGGGGTTAAGTACCAATTTTACTTACCTTTTTATCAGTTTCTTCTCTTTCAATTATATTATTACACATTCTTAATGCAACTTCAACTGAAATTAAAATATGAATATTTATTAGAAAATTGTAAGCAGATTTAGGACCTATTAAATTTGAATACATTTAATTAGCATTTAATATATAGTTAGCATATAAAGAAATGTAAGAAATACTCCAAGTTATCACTGTTTATCAAATCATATTTTAGCAATAATAACTTTATATAGTAAAAGCATCATTAAAAAAATTCCTTATTTTAAATATTTTTTAAGATATTTCTATCTAAGTTATCTATCTAAGTTAAAAAATCTAATATTTCTATCTAAGTTAAAAAAGGCAGTCTTTTATTTTATTCTATCTTCTATCTATTTATTCTATTATTAACTTTTGAAATGATAAGTACTAAAACTTATCTTGATGTTGCGGGGAATATGAAAGACGCTGCTTAATGTGATCATGGTAAATGTTATCATAAGGTTCTGAATTACAACAATCTCATCTATTTGGACATGAAAAATAATCATCATGATCCACAAGCGAGTAAGTACTATCAACATATTATAGAATAATTTTTTTTAATGAAAGTAAATTCAGCAAATGAAGTCATGATAAATTTTAATAATTGTCTAGCTGAGAAATATCGACAAGGGATTAAGATGCTAAACTGCTTGGTTTTGATTTTAGTCAAACATTTAAAATTGGGAAAAAAAAGCATCTTTTTATTTAGCTTAATATAGATTTTGAATAACTCTCTTGATTTGAGGGTGATCAGATACGTCTCTCCTGTTCTTCAGGGGTAAAAAAAAAAAAAAATTCTGAAGAATTCCTGTCCCCTAAAAACATTTATGCCAAACCTTTTTTTCGTCTAATTAAAATTTATACTGATATTGTTCTCTTTCAATTTCATTAAACCACCCACAAAGAAAGGAATCTGTTTTCCAAATTTTATGAAGGTCTGCTGGACTAACGAGTTCAATGAAGCTTGATTTCTAGATAAATTTGCTTTTATGAGACAAAAGATCCTTTTTATTTTATTTAAAGCTTTACTTTTTTATTCTGTTCAATCATTTTTGTAACTCAAAGTCACTTTCCTTCATTTAAAAAAACTTCAAAATTATAAAGACTAGTAAAAGGCGTAATGATTTGAGTCTAAGAAGAAAAGTAGATTCATTATACTGCTTTGACTTACACCTCAATTAATGGAACATTGTACTTCAGTTAATTTTTTATTAACTTTTCTTATGCAAGGCCTTAAAGAAATGTTAAAGATTTCTTTACAAATCAAATCAAAATAAAATATGAAACAAGTGCATAGCAAAGAACGATACAATGTTGAGAAAGCATTGAAGGTCTGGTTTACAGAAGTTTGTGAAAAGATGTGATATTCAGTGGTCCACAGAAAGCTGAAGAATTAATTACAGAACAGGGGAACATGATTTTATAGCAAAATATGATTCGCTTTGCTGATGAAAGATAACATTGTTTGCAAATTCATTAATAGTGTTTATCTTAATATAAAAAAGTTAATTCTTAGTAACTGGAAAAATAAAAAAAAAAAAAGAGAGAGTCTGGGCTATAGATATAATTCAAAGCATTGATGATGGCAATAATTTTTAATGAATGACTTCTGAATAGGATAAATTGAAGAATGATATCTTTCTTTATATTAACAACTGCACAGTACATAATTTAAAAATATCTCTCAAAAGCGTATTATAGTTGCATATTTAACAATACCAATACCACAAGTCAACCATATGATCAATGGATAATTGGAGTGATGAAAGAATGCTATTGCCATGAGATGAGTTTTAGAATCTTTTATAATATAAATGATATGAACAGTGGCGTAACTAGAACTCTTGGACCCCTATGCAAAAAATTTTCCTGGGCCCTCCTTCAATAAATTTAATGTGCTTAAAAATAAAAATTTCAATTAAAATTTTTAAAAAGTTAAAAAAAATCAAGGATTTCACGAGCCAGTGTCTTTATGATGAATTTTATTACATCTGGATATTTTGTTGTTAAAAAATAATAAAAGCACATCCTTAGGGAACCAGTTGAAAGGTACGTAACACGAAGAAGAAAATAAAAAGGAAAATATTTTCCCTTGATCAACTGTGTGAAATTTGCTTTAGTCTGGGTATTTGATATCAGATGATTTTAAGCAGTTATTTAAGCTTTGTGTGCATGCGAGAGACAGACTTTTCTCTCCTTTCATGAGATACATACTGATAATAAATGAATAAGTCTATATAAAAAAAGGAAAATGTCATGTAAAGTATAGCATTAAGAAAAGTAAGAAAGCTTAGTTTTACGGAGATTTTTATATAAAATCCAAGAGGTTTTACATACAAATAAATTTTGAATTTTTATATAAAATCTGCACCAATCTAAGTTTTTAGCTTAATTTAGCAAACTAAATAATGGTTATATTATAAAGCATTGAAAAACAATATATCTGTGAAAATAGAAAAACACGCCGAGTGAAAAAAATTAGTAGTAACACAATAAACCTTAAGTTTGGTGTAGGTTTATGTTAAGATCTCAAACAATTTCTAGGGCAAGCAGGTTTAGGTCCCTCTTCGTCAGAAGTAAAGAAATCTACAAGACTGAAGAATAGTCAGATTTTTCAATTGTGCCAAAATACGTGTAAATATTTATTTTTGAATGTTTTTTTTTACCAGGGTAACAACTTTTATTTTATAATACAGTGAAACGTCGGACTTCGGCGATTCCGGATTATCGATTTTTCCGGATTATAGATCATCAGTTTAAATCTGGTAAGATGGCATGCAGAAATTATAAAATTAAAAATATGAAACCGTAATTTATGAAATAAAGAACAATTATGATCTAAAGGGTATCAAAATTACAAAAAAAAAAAAAAAAAAAAAAGCTTAATATTTATTGTTTACTTATTAAACATTTCTTTCAATGTAAGTTGCTTCGTTTCATGTGATAATACTTCTCTTTAATTCTATTAAACAGACATAATTTCTTGTTTAGTTACAAAGTTCCGCTGTTCAAGTCCTATAATTGCTGTGTTGAGAATACCGACTAATTTGTCAATCGAAATGTTTTTGTTTTCAATAACCTCTGGGTCACTTTCTTCACTATCGGAAGCGAATTATAATGACGAGGAATTTGATTTAAATCATATCAAAGACAGAGTACATCGAGCTGAAATACTACACTTAGTAAGGAATTATAAGCCAAATAAAATAAAAACATCTGCCCTGAAGATAAGGATAGTGCTGACAGATCAACTTCCAATCCACGGTGTGAAATCGATAAACAGATTTCGGATTTCAAAACATACTTTCGCTTTGTAGATACAAATTACATATTAGTAAATATATATCGGAAATTCTATTGACATAATCAAAAGTTCAAGCTTACTTTTATGAAATTGCTCTAACAGTCTGCAAAAAATAATAAGCCGGATCCAATTCGAAGATTAAGGAACAACGTAATCTGCAACATTAACTGAATTAGATAATTTTAGCTTAGCTTATACCTCCGTTACATATTAAACGCGCATGCGCACAAACATATTCGCAGCCGTAAAGGTCTTACGCGCACTCTTAAATGCCTGTGCGCATGTGTGAACGTGACGCATGTGCAGAAAGTTTGTAGCTTTGAGGTCCGGATTATAGATCATTCTGGATTATGGGTGTCCGAATTAACGACTTTTGACTGTATTTCACATATATAATTAATTTATGGTCAACTGAAATATCTGTTGACTCATCTATCATTAAAGAAATATAGGGACTTTGCGAAACATCCTCATCCAAATTTGATTCTAATACTTCCGAAATAGCTTTCGTTATGTCTGTAACTGAATTTGAGAAAAATTCAAGTGAGTTATTTTCACAGTCTTATTTCCACAGGATTTCATAAGCATCATTAAAGGCTTAAATTTCGTTAAAAAAAGTTCTTCTTTTCCAATAGTGTAAACAGTTTTAAACACTGCCAAATCGCTATCTGTTGCTGTAGATTTTTCCTTTTCGATGATATTTTTAAGAGCTTTAACATCTTTCTTGGCATTTAAAGAAAGCCTGTGTAGCCATAGTTTTTTCGTGGCGAGACAGAGTACTTCTTTGGAAACATGATGAACCCATCACACCCACGCCATTCTTCATATTGGCAGATTGACATGTTTCACAAAACATTTTATTTTCCTCTTTATTGAAGAGAGCCCAAGGAAATTCTTTAAGCCACTTACTTAAAAAATTATCATGTTTAGAAGTTTCTTCTGGTTGTTTATCAATCTTTGGGTTCTTAGCTGACGGTTCTGAGCTGATTGACACTTGGCTTGATGACTTTTTTATAAAAAAACTCCTTGATGGATTTAGAACTCATATTTAAATATTTAAATTAATTTTTCTCCTGGAATAATTGCTTCGGTCTCAAGGGGACCACCCTTATTGAATTAAACAGTTTTAAAAAATTAGTTAGAAACTAAAAAATATTTTTGATGTGCTTCTCCTAAAAGCTGATAGATCATTCCGGATTATGGGTGTCCGAATTAACAACTTTTGACTGTATTAGCTATAATTTTATAAAAGCTCCTTGCCTTCATTTCCAAAAACTCTCAAACATAGTCAGAAAGATCAATTTCTTTAGGTGTATCTTGCTCTACAGAAATTAGAGCAAGATTTATCAGCCTCGTCTCCATCATAGAAGATCTTAAACAAGTTTGTATGTATTTTAATTTTGAAAAAATATCTCTCTCCACTTGCAACTGTTATAGGAAAGGACAGCAAATTTCGAAGTTCCACTCCAGTATATTTGGGAAACATTCAAGATTTTATACATATTCTAAAATGACAAGGGGCTCCGCTCCAGGAACAATGTATTTCGACAGATTTTCCAGTTCATCACAAAGTTCCGAAGCGTTTAGATTACTCGAATGTTTATTTGTAAGTTCCAATTTCTAGTCTTTGTGTCTATTCAAAAGTTCTCTAAAAGATGTTTGAGGGTTCCTACGCCGTACAGGAAACTGTACCGTAGTATGCTCCATATTCCCGAGTAAGTTCAAATCTTT